GTGGGGCTAGAGTGATGGCTAAGCTACTAAGAGCATTTGGTGTTCTTGCAGAGAATTGGAACTCTGTTTCTAGACCTCATGTTTGGCAGTTCACAAACATCTATAGTTCCAGCTGCGCGGTATCTGACTCCCTCTTCTGGTCTTCCTAGGCTACTCCCCTCTCTGGTTGTACACACTGTGAATACACATACACACACACACAGAGGGGAGAGAGGGAGGGAGGGAGGGAGGGAGGGAGGGAGGGAGCAAACAGGAGTCTTCTTCAAAATGTGGAAAACTTAAGGATAGGAGTTCAGTTAAAGAGCAGGGCAGAGGTAGATATTCCATGACCATTATCATTTGACTTTAACTCTTATTATTCTGGCTTAGCAAAAAATGCACAGAAGACAGGACACATAGATGGTTTGAAGACTTTAAAACATCAAAGGGAACTTTCCAGAGATCACTGACTACAACAGACTAAAATCTTAGGTGGAAAATTTTATGGGTAAAGATTTTGTGCCCTCTACCACTGTATAGATGAACAGCTGGAGTGTGTGTTTCACCTGGGGTGATACTAATTCTACAGGTCTCAGGGGCAATTGTTTAGCATCGTCCCTCCAGAACTTCATGGTTATTAATAATAGGATTCAGACATTGCTCAATTGGGGACAGTGGGTTCCATGTATAAAGAGTCATTTCAAATGTCTGATATGCTTCTTTGCAAAACTGTCCTCTGCTATGCTTGTTCAATGCTCAAGTCAAGTGTATTAGAATGAGATGCAAACTGAATCTTTGTGTTAGTGATCACAGGATAATACACTGGGAACTAAGGTTCCAAAAATCCTGGATGCATCACTGCAATGCTGTTTTTATTTACACCTAAAAAGTCAAATCAGAAACTCTTTGGGGTCATTTAAATAACCAATTGAAAATTAATAAAGCATGACACAAACAGATCCAAATAAAACAGTGGTTAAAAAGTAGAGCAAGAACAAATAAAAATATGCCTGTCTTATATACATACACTACATTGTAGGTTGAATGTTATCTTTAGATGATGAACATTTGGATGTGCTGCTCCAGAGTGAAACAAATATATACAGAACTGCCTGGAATTATAACACAAATTTTTATCTCTTTATACTTGTCCTGAAATTTACTCAAGTTTGGCAAGACTAAACAAGGGTGATCACAGGGGCCAACCTCTGAGCTTATTGAGAGGACAGGGGGTAGGGGGAGATGGAGAGGAGGGAGGGAGGGAGGGAGGGAGAGTGAGAGGAACTGTATACATTTGATTATTTAAAGCCAGCTCATGAGTAAAATACTTTCCTTCAATTACACCTAATTATTTTATTGTTTACATTTCCTAATGAAACGAAACTGCACCAAACAAACAACTGTAAAGGGCTGTTGTTCACCAAGTGCTCAGTCACTGATCGGCAAGCACAGACACATCCTGAAGTTCTACAAAGCTGGCCTGTTTGAGTAGAAAGGCCTGTTTTACCCCAATCAGTGCCTGCAAGCACAGTCGCCCAGTCAAGGCGCACGCGGCGCTGCACAGCTCAACTGTGACGACCCACACACAACACTTGCACATCAATTATGATCATCATCACCACGGTCGTTAAGCTGAGTCTTCATTATCATCAGGATGCTAGTGACAGCAGATTCAATCTCTGGGTGCAGTCCCACCCAAGTTTCCACAGAAGGCGATGTGGCACATTAAATCCATGATGTGTTTCCCATCCTACTCCATTCCCAAAGCATGGACAGGGAAGGTCAGCTTTATGTTCTGTGCAATATGCTTAGTTCCCTAAATTAATTCTTTGGAGTGCTGGGTATTTCTACGCTTTGCATCATGTACAGTCATGTTTGGGGCCCAAGTGCATGCACAGATGAAGAGCTGTGCAGTCTGCTGTCATCATTCACTTGTAATCAGGCCGATGGAGAAAGGAGCTAGCAACACAAACTATCCTCAGTGTCGCTCCCTGCATGTGAAGCAGGAAATGGATCCATTAAATGTAGTTGTCTAAGAGGCACACAGAAGACCATTCCAATTCAGGTAAGAACACAGATGGTCCCCTGTGCTTGAGTACATATGAACATGGATATGTCGGCAAGCAAAGCATGTTTCAAACATATGGACCTGTTGATTGTCAGACTGCTAGACCTACGTGAACAGTTGACACTAACACCAGCGGACTGGGAGTTCTTTAGTTCACATCCATTCATAGCTCAGCACTATAGGCAATTATAATACTAAAGTATTTACTTCAACTTCAAAGTCTGATTACTTGAAACACTGAGTAAAAACTGGGTAGCTTAATTTGGTTCAGGTCACAAGTAGATTGAAGAAATATCGTAATATAAATTATTTCATTATTTTCTCTTTTTAAACAATGTGACATAGGGCAGGGAAGTATCTCAGTGGATAAAGTACTTGCCAAGTAAGTATGAGGGCAGGAGTTTTAATCCCCAGAACCCAAGTGAAACGTCTGGCAGGCATGGTAGCCACCTTCAGTCCTAGGGAAAGCTGACTAGCTAGTCTGACAGGAACCAGCAAGCTCCAGGGCCAGTGAGAGACTCAGGTTCAGTTAACAAAGAGGACGGCAAAGGAAGGAAGATACCTAATGTCAGCTCTGCACACGCGCACATGTCCATACGTACAACACTGACTTCACTTATGCAAGCTGCTACAAGTACATGCAAAAAGTAAATTATATATATAAATGTATATACATATATAATACTATTTTTCATTACTGACTCCAATTTTTTTCAGAAAACAACAGTATCAGTTGCTCTCGATTCACTTAATTTATGATTTTTTTGTATAAAGTCCTTTGGAGCAAAGAAAAAAGAAGTGAGAAGTGAGTGTATGAAGTTGGTGTGAATATGAATAAAGAAAGCACTGCACATATATTTGATTTACTGCAACTATTGTTCTTTAACACAGCTGGTTAGCAAATCACTTGAAACCTGTAGCTGAATTCACCCAAATGGTGAAAAGATACCAACATGAAAAGTTACATTGATTAGAAAATGAAATACATATTACATTCATCGACATCTAAAATATGAAACTAAATAGAGTTCATAGCTACTTTGTGTCTAGGAGGGTTGTGTATTGGTGGAAGATGTCAAGAATAGGTTGGTTGTGGGATTTTATAAAATGACATGATAACCCCACCTCAGTCTGCCAATCAGTTCCTACAGTAAACCAACTGAACTTCCTGTACTAACCTTATACCTGAAATTACTAGTGTTGAAGATGGCCTTTAAACAGAATGACTTAGTAGCTATAGTTTAAAAGATGCCTCCTGGACAGGTGAGATGGCTCAGCAAGCCTAAGAGTCATCTTCCATGCCTGGAACTCAGGGTAGAAAGAGAGAACAGACTCCTGAAGGCCATTTTCATACATCCACGCGTGTGTCATGCATGTGCATGCTCTCATGTACACCCACAATACTATTTCACTGTGTGTGTAACCCATTTCCTTATACATTCACCTGTTGTGGCTGTCCTGGCTTCTGTGAATGATGTTGCAGTGAACATGGTGTCCACTTCCTTCTTTGACATACTAATTTCATTCCATTTTAACTCACTCTTAGAATTCTTGCTGCTGGGTCAAACAGCAGCACACGGCTATGTTAACCTACACTCCCACAAAGAGCACATGAGTTCCCTTTTCTAACAACTTGGTCAGCATTTTCCTTTTGCCCTTTTGGTAATGGTTATTCTGTCAAGTATGAGAAGATATATTGTGGTTTTTATTTGCATTTCAGTGATCATTTTAGTGATGTTGAACATCTATCCATACTAGTTACCTGCATGTTTTCTTTTGAAAATCATCTTTCTAGGCTACTGCCTTCACACAAACACACCCCTCTTTTTTTTTCTTGCTATAGGAACTGTTCACACATTTTAGATTTTGACCCTTATTACAATGCATGGTTCCAAACATCTTCATCACACTGGATGTTTCTCACTCTGTTGATTGGTGGCTTCTTTGGGTACAGCTTTACAGTTTGATGCAATTACATTTTGCTGTCTATGCATCTGAAGTCATATCCAAAAAGCGTTGTTGAGCCCAAGATCAAAACTTTTTCTCTGTTTCCTCTAGTAGTTTCAGGACTTATGTGTAAACACTGAATGTGTGTTAAGTTGATTTTTAATGTGGTGAAAAGCAAGGATCCAATTTCCTTTTCCTGAATAAGGTTATCCAGTCTTTTCAGTGCCATCTGTTGAGTTGACTTGCTTCTGCCACTGTATTTGCCACCGTTGATGAAGATCAATTGAGCAGACACATGTGGGCATGTCTCTGTACTTCCTCTCCTATCCCATCCGTCAATGTGTGTCTTTTAATGTTTGTACCATGCATGCTGTTTTGATTATTATAACAATGCAATATATTTTGAAATAAGTCAGTGTAACACTTCCAACTTTATTAATTTTGTTCACTTGCGTTTTCAGGGTAATTTGTTATGGCAGCAGGAACAACAACACACCTCTTAGATGTCATCTAAAGCCTACATGTTCTGTACACTTTACAAATGTGCACAGTACATACACATATGTGTCAAGTGTATATAGTTCACGTTGTATGGGCCAATCACACACCTCTTTTTCTGCACATACGGGTATATATGCACAGAGATTGAGAGGGAAAGAAATATCTGGCCTCCGAGCTCAATATTCCATTCCACTTGGGGACTTCACATTCAAACCACAACCCTGATCATCTGTAAAGTCAGCAATCCACGTTATTGATTATAGGATATATAATCATAAAACATATGTTAAGAACCAATAATGCAAAGAATTAATGCAAATCTCTCACTGACACAGGTCATCTACACCATTTTTACAAAACCAGCTTCAAATAAGTTAAAGATTATGAAGATCATAACTGTAGTGAGAGGATTTGCATTTACTATCATCAGTGTGTATCTTCAGTCCTTTAAAGGTGGCACTGTTTCTTAATGCTATCATTGGTGTCTACTGCATCATGAACCTACCTTGTTGCTGATCCACTTTTTAGGGTCTTGACTGCGGAAGTGCTTCTGTCCGTAAGAGTTCCCATTGTACTTGCTTGATGAGTGTATCATTGGGATGTACTTCTCATTTTTATGGTAGGAGGAAAATGGCAAAAATCTGAAAGAACAGTTAGGCAATATGCATGATTAGACTTCCAGAGAACTGATTCAGAGGAAGTAGGGGTTTGGAACTGGAATATTTATTTCCCACTTCAACCCTGGTCACTGTCAGTATTCTGGCTTCTGAGACTCTTCTTTCCTACCTGTCTAATGATGGAGACACTCAAACTATTCTACTGGGATTTTCATGAGTTTTAAATATATCATGACGGTAAATATCCAATTAACACTTTAAAGGTGCCAGATTTTTCAAAATTCACACTGTAAACAAATATGTCTTCTTTTAAAGTTGTATAAATCTCAAAAATAAAATACAGCCAAACATCAGTTCAGCAGTTGGGCAGTTCTTCTTGAAACCATTTTTCTTCAGATCTCATAGCACTCCCCAATGAAGGCTGATCTGGTTATCTGGTCCAGTGCGAATGGCAGTACTTTGGAGTCAGTTCACCCCTGATCACGCCTCGGCTCTGCCTTGCTCCTTCACTTCCTTACCATGAGTCTTGACTTCCTCGTGTTGCTCTAAGCACCTGGTATGGAGGCTGAAGAGGACGTGGGCCAGTAATTGTGCTGGAGCCGGATGTTAAGAGAAGCGCCTTGCTGCACCCAGTAGCATTCTATTTACTGTGAGCTTTGTGATTACTTTAGTGATAGTGGTTTGCCATGAAAGGCTAGACCCACACTCGCACATCAGTCACTGCGGTACGCTCTTGGTGTAACCTGGCAACTGGCTCTGCCAAATCCTGAAGAGAACTCACCAAATAAGAGTAAAAGAACAAACTGTTCCAACCATTCATGAGAAAGAGGACAAAAGACAAGAACATAAGCTCGAGACATCAAGAGGTCGTAGAAGCCAGGAAGGGAATTGGAAACTTGTAACTGACAGAGAAAGTTTGAGAAAATCAAATGTTAATTAATATAGGTGTTAGAAGGGGTTGATGTCCAAGAAAACTAAAGCAATCTGTCCCATAGAACTCCGGGAAAGGCCAGGAACTGAATCTGTGGTCACTGCAGAAAGCGAGATTGAGGAAGACAGCTGAAGAGGGTGGATCAGAAGTCACCTAGGGTGTGAGTGAGTCCCTGGCCTCTGTCTTCATGTAATACATTCTATGTATTCTTAAGAGACAGACATAGACACTCTGACAAGGAGAGTTCAGCCCCCACTGAGCTGACACAGTGTGGTGTGCTCAAAATGAGGGAGGCACTAGATGGAATGGTTCATTTCATCCTACAGTCCACTCATGGTTCTTCCTCTGTTCATCTGTATATGAACGGTCAGCTGAACCTAAGCAAAATTACTGCACCTTCTTAAATACATAGCAAACTTCCGGAAATGAGTGCTCAGGCCTCAACCTTGGGAAACACTGTAATTAAAAGGTTGCACTGTTGTGTAATGAAGTTTCTCCAACAAAAGTTCAACTACACTCTCAGTTCCCAACTAGATTTATTTCCTAACTGGGAAAACCAAGGAAAAACAAAAAAACCTCAGAGGAACCAGCTGTCATACTATAGTAACCAGGAAAAAACTCACACTTTTTAATAAATACAATCCAAAAAGACATGGTGCCCATGAATAATAACTAGATGCTTTTTTCATATAAAAGTTATATTTAGAAAAAATAAAACTTGAAAGATAAAAATATACAGCAAGTTAAAGTATCCCACTGAAAGAAATACTTTAAATTTTTGAATTTTAAAAAGTAAAGTTTAAGCTCAACAAATGTGGATTAAGCCATTACTATTTCCCAATATTTTACATGATACATTTAATTCAAACAAGATGTTTTAAAACCTAAGCCTAAGTTAAAATTTTATTTTTATTATTGTATTCATATATTTGCTTAAACAATAAATTTAGGAAAAGTCTTACTTCATTTTCATTTTATTTTTAACTTTTACCAGTGAACTCCTTTAACATTTAAAAAATCTAAATAGTTAACAAAGTTAGTTATGGAAACATGAAGGATTTGCATCTTTGTAGGGAAAACAGCTTTCATGAAGACAAATTATGGTCTTTCCAATGCTTATTTGTACATGGGATGAACATCAGAGACATGCAGAATTAATGTGGCCCCAGTGTCCCTGAGTATTCAAACATGGTGCTTATGAACAACTGTTGCATTTTAGTTCCTGCCTTTTCTTGACAGGCGGGGACACTCACCACTATACTAACAAGGACAACCACTTTCTGCCTCTTCTTGAATGGCATTTCAATAAATTTTCCCTTTGTGTCTGTGCAAAATTTGCTTTCCTGAAGGCACAGACAAGGCCCACAAAGTAACCCTACTTTCATTCAGCCCCAGCAATTCATCAAAGTCACATGTATGTGTGTCTTAAGTATTTGTACATATGTGTATAAATTATATATATATTGACTAATTTTTAAATAACTATCTCAAAATCAATAAAATTATTTAGCCCTCAAATAAAGTATAAATGGTTATGAAAACTTAAAACTCACAAAGCCGTCAAATTTAGGTTACTCATAAACTCATTCCAAAATTTCTTCCTTTGCAAGTTACAATACCCTTAGTTGTACTGTGTGCTTTCGTCGGGCGCTGTTCAATTGCCTGGGCTCCACATTACTGAAGATGCAGGGCAGCCCTACTGTTTCTATAATCTTAACAAGGACACGGATTGCAAAAATAATTGAGTTTTGATTACACCCTTAAACTTATCTCGTGTATGTGGGGGCATGAAGCACAAGGGAACAGAAGAGGATGGCTCAGAGTCTGCTCTTTCCTATCACCATGTGGGCCCGAGGAAAAGGGTTCAGGTGGTGAGGCTTGGTGGCAAGCATCTACCTGCTAAGCTAGCTCGCTGGCCCGGATCTAGTAAAAAAGCAGTCTCAAAAGCAATGAAATCACAGTGACATATGCTAATGACTCACCACTTGACTAGGCAGTTCTAGAAGGTTCGCCAAAAGTCTTAGGAAGCAGTAGGTGAAAATGACTTCAGAGAAGATGATCTATTGTAATGGACACTGAATGGTAATACATGTAATATAATTTTCCAAATACCAACAAATTACCCTTCTTTCCCCCTTACAACTCTGCTTAATTTCCCCTCTTTTTCTATAATCTATTACTGTCATTCATAATTCTAGGTTTCTCACCAACCCATTTATTCTTACTGACAGTTAATTCAAATCTTTAAATCATGAAACTCAATCTCCTATTGATTCAAGCTTCAAACCTTCAATCTTGCTTAGACTGTGTCCATTGCACTCCTTCTGGCCAGTGTTCTCTGTGTCCCGCCCACCTTTCTAGCCCAGTCTCGGTTCTGTCTTCCTCTCCCGTTCTGTCCCACTGTGCATGCTCCTCTTGGAAGGTTGACCCATTGCTCACCCTAAGAATCTGTGTGACGCTCCTCTCCTAGACAGCTGAATCCATTTATTCCAACCACTCTTATTTCTCTGTTGCCTGAGTGTTCATTCATTCAACTGACATTAAGGGAGATATTTCCAGGTAATTATCACTCTGAAGAGCACAGACACAGGGGTGGAGGATACAGCACACTGGCGTGGGACACCCCTTTTAGGAGGGGGCAGGGAACTTGGGAGTGTACACAGGTAAAGTGTAATGTTTGTGGTGGATAGAAGCACAAGAGGCAACAAGCAACAGAGAAAGGTTGTGTTTGTTCACGCGTGTGTATGTAGGGATTCTTTACTCAAGGGAGCTGGGGACTCATCAGGTTAGGCAGTGTGAACCCATAGAGTCAGGAAGCTGGTGCCGGTTATTCAGTGTGTGTGTGTGTGTGTGTGTGTGTGTGTGTGTGTGTGTGTGTGTGTGTGTACTCTGCCAATGGTTTAAATTAACAAGAATTGTGGGTTAGAGTCCACTAGACACATTTTCCAAACACATATTCCTATGAGCTGAGCTATCTGTGATTCAAAGTCTGACTCTATGTCTATATTTGTAAATCTCAAGGCAATATACACTCCAGTCTTCATGATTTAGTGTTCACTGACTGAACACTAAAGCAAATTCTAGACACCTGTATTGAATCTTCTCTGTATAGTTTGTCCTGGGGGCAGGAGGGCATCTTTTCATCACCACGGTTTTAGCCATCAACTCAAGTATAGCGCGAAACAAGATATAAATGACAAATTACACAGATCCCGCAAAAGCCAAACTTCCTTAGATTTTGAGGGCTTCAGGGATAGAACAGAACTCTAGGATTCTGTGCTCATTTACTGAAGACAAGCTTGTTTCTTCCAAGGAGCATGGTCACCAAGCGCATACGTGTCAGCACATGCTGCTGGAAGGAAGGGCTTTTTTAGATTTAGGGAGGTTCTAGAGCTTCTTAAAGGCTTATTGTCCATGGTCCGCAGTGCTGTGAAGTACCAGAACTTCATTAGATGAGTAAAACTGTGTGAATTTCCACTGGAAACTAGCTGGAAGAGGCGAAGGAATCCTTGTCAACAGAATCATTGGGCCAGTGGTTCCCTGCAGCACAGAGAAATGACTCTCCTATCATGGCTTGCTCAGAGTGGTCTGTGCTAAAGGGTTAGCTAATTCTTATTTTAACTTTAAAGGGCTCTTCTGATTAACAAGTGCTGCACACTGTGCTGGTAATTAAAATGAGTGGAAGAGTTACAGATACAAGTTGAATTGTTAAAGGCAGCATCAAAAAATATGGTAATCCCTGTTATCATAGCATATAGTAACAGTTCAGAAGTGTGGAGATTATAAAGCTCCGAAGCATTTGTTTTTAATCACACAAGTAAAGAAGTCATGCAATGTATTGTTTCTTCCCTTTCCAGTATTCTTTAATGATAAACGCAGGCAGCGCTCTTATCCGTATGCAACGTATTTTTAATGTCCTTCAAAGGGCTGTTATTTTAATCTAGCTTTAACCTTTCCTATACCATTTTGCCTATACAGCACCGGCCCATGGAAAGACACCATAGAAACACTAGCAAAGGTCAGGAAGTGAGTATTTCAGCTTTTCCTAGGGGTCCCGTTTAAGCTAAGTATTTCAGCATTTCCTAGGGGTCCT